TCCCATGTCTGTAAGGCTTCCACTGCAGGCAGAGACCTGTGAGTGTGTGTGTGTGCGCGTTCGTTTGTGCATGTGTGTGTGTGTGTGTGTGTGTGTATAAAGCCTTTACCATGCCACAGTGGATTAACCACACAGTTTGAGTGGTAACGCTGAGGCTGTGCAGGAGAGCTTCAGAGAGAAAACACACAGATAGAGGATGAGAGGCAGACGAGAGTTTGAGATTGATGAGAAAAAGCTTTTTTTAAATTCCCAAACACAACCTGAGAAAAAAAGAAATAACCACCGGCGTTAATTAATCCTCAATTCAGAAAACTTTGGATGGTATGTGTGCGCTTAGTGAGCCGCTCTCTCTCAGCGACTGTCACACTCTTGCATTAATGTGTTTAAGATAAGACGATCCCTTTGGAAATATTGGTGAGCGGAAAAACAAAAGGCTTTTTATGAATAATGAAAGATGGCGGAATTTAATTATGACGCTGTCAATAACTGACGATTTAAGCGTTTATTTTCAGAGAGAAAGAAAAGTTTTGAATAACAGTTACTAAACAAACAGCAGCGTACTGCTGAAGAGACACAGGAGGAGATTTGGAGACATGGATCACGCTGCAGGAGTTGAGGGAGTTTAAATGGATACTTGAATTTAAGATGGAGTTAGTCCAGGCATGTAGCTACCGGCTGTGACGTATGACGTAGGGTTGTCTCGGAAATTATGGAAATATTCCAAATTGGAAAGTTTCCATGGGAATTATGGTAATTCTTGGGAATTTATTGAAATTAACAGGAAATTGGGGGTAATTTAAACAAACTGTGTCATATCCAAACGTATATGTAACTTTTTTTGTTTCGTCATAAGCAGACATCCATGCAAAATAATACAATTAATGGCAATGAACAAAAATGTAGTTGGCTAAGCAACTGGAATGGTCTTCAAAATATTTGACAGTTGATGTTTAAATTATTATATGGTTACAGAAAACCATCTTGCAGGAGTTAAAAGAAAAAGCATCACATTTGAGGTAGCTACCACCACCATATTAAGCTAGCCCCTTAAATGGTCAATGAAATGAAAAATAGCTTACAGTTAGAAACTATTTTTATTTAATGTTTGCAAGTTAAATAATAATACTATGATAGATCAAACATATTTACCCCATAATATTGTCAAAACTGCTTTGGGCTCGAAAGTGTGGCCTCCAGGGTTCAAGAAATCATCTGTGAATGTCTTGGAGGAATCCACAGTGCATGTAGGGGGTGTGGCCTCAATAGCCCTGCAGTAAGCCGTGTGCTGTGTGCACGTGATTTAGGAGTGTACTTGCATTAAATCTGGTTGTTTTACCCCCACTCTCTTGCTGCTCCAGGAGCTACGCTGTTACATTCAAGTTACGTTACCTGCGCTACTCGCTATACAGATCGTGTATAAGCTTAAACGTCACCCTTGACATCAGTGGAAGAGGGTCTGACAGGATTTGATGCACTCGTTGATGACGCAAAACAAGTCGAAAATAAGGTGTGTTGTTGTGCTCACACAGTGCGAGTAGCAATCATTAGTGCCGCATTGATAATTCACATGGAAAGTTTCGAACTTTGAAAATTCCTGGAATTTTGCAATCCTACGTCGGAGGGAAACGGAAACAGTGAAAATGAATCAGGGATTTTCTCTAATATACTATGAGTTACTAAAATTGCAGAGCAGCAACCCAAATTCTCCAACAGACGACTTTGTCTAACATGACTCCTAATGGTACTCTTCACTGCTGATGCTGCACCAACCTGCCTGTCAACCCCACAATCCATTTCACCCTCACTCAAGAACAGGACCCTGAGAGTCTTAAGCTCCTTAAATAGGGTAAAAGACCAACTCCCCACCCTGAGGGAGCAATTTTCCCGCAGAGAGCCATAGCCTCGGACTTGGAGGTGCCGACCCTCATTCCAGCTGCCAACCACCCCCAATGCTTTGCTGGAGACCTCAGTCCGAAGAAACCTGCAGAGCCACTTCATCATGCGCTTGTGGGTTGTATGAATTTAGCTTTTAATGTTTGGAGGAGGACTTTGACAGTGTTAAAAAACAGCCAGCATGATTTGCACTTCGGAAAGAAAAAAAAAAACTTAACAGACAGCTTGACTGGAAAAATAAACCCTGAAATCTGAGAGTTCTTGCTGAATATTTGATTGACAAGCTGCCAATCACTCACTGTAAGAGACACTTAGAAGGATATCTGTCTGTTGCAAGGTTTACTCTCAGTCATGCCAAAATTTATAGGAGAAGGAGCTAAAATTAACAGCTGGAGGCAATTTATTCCGCTTGCTTTAGTAGAATCAGGTCATAAGTTTTAATGTGGACATGTTAACCATGCTCGGATTATAACTAATACTATATTTAGGACGGAAATCAGCCAACAGATAACCAGTCTAACCAGTTCAGCAGAGGTTCTGTTGCTACTGTATGATCCATGCGCAAACATTAGCTCAGCATACAGTGCTGTTTCATGGTGTTTCATCATTAGTTGCACATTGTGATGCTGTTCTTACCTCAACCTGGCAGCTCCCTCCTGCTCAGTGAAGCAGCAGCAGCTCCGTGCGAGTCATTAAAGGCTAGAGAGAGAGAGAGAGGGAGCTTCAGCTGGCTTCACCACCCCGCTCTCATAGCTGGCATTTCTCAGATAAGACGCAGCCAGAAAACGCTGATTTACAAGGCCCCTCTCTCCTCCCTCTGTAGCTCTGTATGTGTGTGAGCGTGTTTAGCTTTGATTTAAAAGACTCAAAGTGTAATAAACCATCAAGAAATACACCTCCTGCAAAAACATATCAACCTGCAAATCACATCACAGAGTCTGACGCTTGTTCTCCATCTGTCACACAGCCGAGGAGCTTCAGTTTGCACGTGTTCAACCTAAATCTCTTTTTTTTTCCTCCCTGGATTGCATTATATTTCTCCTCCAGTGTTTCCTCAGCTTATTGGGTGTTTACTCCCTCCCATTCCTTCACACTCTCATTCTTTCCCAGCTTTTCTCTCGGCAACAGTCATTTGATACAGGCGTCGATATTGGAGGGGAGGGGAATTCCAAGAATGCAGGCGTTAACTCCTTCTCTTATTGGATTTTCAGCCACCAGGGCTTTTCTAGAAACCAGTGCTAACCGAGTAACTCGATACCGAGCTGGTGAGTGTTCATTTCGATGACCTCCACAGGTTGAAAGTCTAAACCAGCAGTGATGTCAGGGTGTACTGGGCCAAGGATGATGGTTGGACTTATTGTTTTGTAAACAATTTCTAGTAGCAGCTTTTTTTGCTAGACCTGTTCCAAAACTACACCTGACACAAATATGGACATATCGACTTGTGTTTCTTACTCAAGCTACAACCTTTTTCAGCTTTTCTGGATCTTCAGTTGTTGCTGAAGTGAGATAAACAAAAGCTAGTTGCAGCTCAGCTTGTAGCCCCCTGGTGGATAGTTATGCTCCCATTAAAACTGTCCAAACTACAGAAACTGAAAACAAATGAAGATCAATTCATTTAGACACTAGCTAGCGGCAGCTCAGCTCCCAGCCTCCACAGCCTAGCCAAGAAGAAACTAACTCTAATGAGAAAAAATGTGCTCCAATGGGTGCATTTGTTTAGGATATACGAGGGATGATTCAGCTCAGATTTCTAACCTCCTAACCTTGCCTTAGTCAGTTATTTAAAGAGTGGCAACAATGGTAGCTCGGTTTGCAGCCTTGAGTTGCCTCACATGCCTGCTCAAAAGAGAGGACATTTCTGAAGGAAGGCTTTTTATGTTATTTTCTTGATTTAATCACCAGTTTATCACCCACTGTTTCCCTTTTCTTTTTGCTTTCTGGTGTCAGCTTTTTCATTACAAAACTTTGTTGTAATTTCCAAGGCTGTGTTAAGATAGAAAATGGAGAGAAACTTCAAGGACCATTACATTGAAAAAAGGACGGTAAATATTTAATTACCCTGTCCTTTTCTGTATACTGTTTTCTGAAGAAAATAAATCACGCTACACTTTGTTTCTCCTTGAGATTGAAGTGTGCTGTGATTCTCCTCGAAGTGAACATATGGGTGTCTTTAGGGAATTACATGCGATTGCATAAACAGCCTCGCTTTTCAAAACAAAAGCTTTAAATGAAACTTGAGTGATTCACAAGATAATGAGATATATAAACATGGACGCCGCCTCTACTGAATTAATTACGTTATGAGTTTATTATGTCCCAAGGACACTGTGCAGTGCGATGCGGAGGGCTGTGTTTACAGCTGGATAGAAGCAAGATCGATTGGCAGCTGGTTGGATGGATGTATAATGTCCAGTTAATTAAAGAGTGAATATGTTAAAACCCTTCCAACTGTCGCTTATTTCCTCTGTAATAAGTCAATCCACTTTGAAAAGGAGCCAAATGGGCCTCGCTTGACAAAAGGCGGAGAGCAAAGCTCGACCACAATGAGATACAGTTCATATACTGTAGTTCATTTTGAGCCACAGTCGAAAGAGTCCTTTAATTTTCAGATTCTGCAACAACTCAGACAATTTCATTTGGTGAAGCTTTCTGTGTTTGCAGAATTGATGCAAAAATGCAACATCTGAAACATACAGGGTCACAAAAAGATAAAACGGCTGCATTAACAGCAAATATGTTGCAAATCAAAAAACTCTCAAACAGAGGAAAGACGATGAAAGAAATACTGCAAACTGAGTCATGACAGTGGGAATGTTCTTGCCTCAAGCTTTGGCTCTTAACGCACACATGTGAAAAGGCAGGAAGCTCCCAGAACAGAGCCACACCACCAAAAACACCTTATTGTATGCAAATAATTATGAAGTAGTCTTGAATAAAGGCGGCTTTAGCATCATGTCTGTTTGACATCAATCCAGATCTCACCTTGGATCAGTTGTAGTCTTATAAACGTCTCACCAGTTTTTTCCTCGAATTTTGACGTAACCTCTATGGAATAGTTTCAGTTAACTTCATCAAGAAATTATTAACAAAAGCTGGGAGTTTATTTAGACCCACTTACTATGTTCTTGGTTGGAAAGTTGGCCGAGCACTGGTGGAACCTGGATCAAGATTTCTGGACCGTAAACTCTACGAAACGGCGCAATCTGTGGTAACTTTGAAGCTTTCAATCTGCGGTTGATGGCCATGCCAGATGTGTGGAGTGAAACGATCTGACTCATGGGTGATTGCTGGTGTGGGTGGTTGATTAGTCCAGTCCAGATTACACAGACCACTAAAGTCTGATCAGGCTGAGTCATTGAAAAAGTTGGAGGCTGAGTGTTGCCTCCATTAAGCGCAATTAGCATATCCCGACTCTGTTCGCGGAGCCGCTGTGTGGGAGTCTTCTCCTCTGAAGTTGACTTCCTATCTCCTCGGTTTTTAGCCGTTTCTCTGCATAATTAACCTTTCTTCAAATGGCAGTTTTGTACCTCGTGGCTTCAATTGAGTTAATTTACATGTTTTAACTCTAATTGACCGCTCAGGCTGATGAAACACTTACAGAACCCCACGGGAGGACTCTTATGAAACTCTGCTGTGAATTTCAGTACGCTGTGAAGCTTTTCAGTGTTCAAACCGCTGACCTGTCTGCCGTCAGCCGTGGATGTGTGAAAATGTTTTGTACCAGTATTAATGCAGTTTCTTTGTGTAGTTTGAGATGTTACCCTTTGGTAAATTACTGGAGGCTTTACAAGGAGGCTTTCTTTCTGTATGAATAACCTTGGAATCTAAGTTGAGCTGAATGTAACCAATAAGATAAATAATAAATGTCACTGTTGTGTTTTGTGTAGGAGAGGAGCGAGAGGAGGTTCATGTCATCAGAGTTCACCCGGCCTCGAATCTGAACAGGTAAGAAAAACGGGCGATTTCATCCCTCTCTCTTTTTTATTTGTTTATTTTTTTTCCGTATCCTTCAAGAAATAATCTTCTCTGAATGACCAACTTAATCCTGTCAAGAAACAGATATATGATTTATTTTGTTCTTGTTTTCGAAAGTCACCATCCCCGTAGGGAATATTGGCTATTAGATCTCGGAAATATGAGAGGGAAAAAACTTGAATGTGGTAGTAACAAGAAAATCAGTTTCCTTTTTTGGGTTCAGAACTCCAAAGTTGACTAAAATTAAGCCTCGGTGTAACTTACTGTTTACAGCAAAACTGAGACTCATCCAAATAGATGAACAGACCCAAGGAAAGGACATTAACCAAGAAATGAAAGTGTTAACTTCGCTGATGGATGTAGAGAGGCAGATTGTTTTTGCTCCTGAAAACACTAGGGGTGTCCTGATACCACTTTTTTACTTCAGATACAATACCAATATTGTAGCCTTCAGTATCGGCCGATACTGATATTGATCCGATTTTGGCACAAGCTTGTGCATGGCAAGTTTTGCATTCAGCTGCAACTTCTTCGTCGTACTGAAACGAAAAATGTTGCCACATGGTCAACATCATTCCTAAGCCTTGCTACTTTGTCAGTACCTTAGAGATTTTAGATGCAGGCCGGAATAATCCGATATATATATATATATATATATATATATATATTGCTGATATTGGGTTGATACCCAACATCAATACCGGATTGGGACTTGCCTAGGAACACCATCCCATCTGTCAACAATGCAGCTCAAAACAAAGTCCCGATAGTTGCCAAATAAGGATGCTCATTTTTTCTCTTTATTTGTTGGAGTGAACCACTACTCGCTGCAAATCTTTGCCTATTTTTCATACTTGAGTTACATTTCCCGGCTCCCTTGCTTCTCCCGAGCAGCTCTTTTTGGGCTCTCTACCCTGTGCTTCCACTTTTTCACCAATTTTAGCAGTCACAGCAGAAATGTTGACAGAGCACGGTCAACTAAAGTGGTTGATGACGGACTGGTTGCTTTCAAATGATGGAAAGTTCTGTGTTTTGTAAACATTTGACAAATTCAGTCAGACCACTGAACAAATCGCCCAAAGTTTTAGTCCTCTTCCAGTTTTCTTGGTTAAACTCTCATGTTTCTTTTTTTATCAAATGTCTGACTCTAGTTAATGGACCATTACTATCCAACAACAACATGGAAGTCTCAAATTTTCACGGGTCAAACGTCTCTTTCTTGCCAGTCTTCAGCTGTGTTAATGAGTATTAAAACCTCATGCACTCGTCAGGGTAACGTGCTGTTTTATTGATAAATTCCTCCACACAGACAAAGACCTGGTGTTTCTCTTTCTGAAGGCTGCGTCATATAAAAATCTCTTAAAAGCAGTTCATTAAAGTGGAGCTGCTGTGTCAACACATAGCAGTACAGAGCTGTTGCCCAATTATTCCACCTCCCAACACACAAAACACCAAACTTATCTAGTGTGAAACTGCACTGTGTGTTGCTGTGTGAGTGTGTTTATAACCACATGGGAGGCTGCCGGCTGATAGGGAACATACAGGAAGGCCAGTCTGATAATACGGCTGATACAGGAAGTAGTTCAGCTGTAAAAATAAAGGAACGTGCTGATATTTATCACAAACACTCTCAAGTATGAGACAGGCCGACTATTTATATGTGACTGTTTATTTTTATCGAGTCTGTCATGTGCCACTCCCTACCAGGGGTGTAACCTGACAGTGTCTCAGAGTTTATTTGATTTGAACCAGAGGAGCTTCTGTCACAGCACTGAGTAACTGAAGCTGGAACTTAACGTTTGTTGCTTTTCTTGAAAAGACAGACCCTGTCACTGTTAGCATAAAACAATGTGATGTTTTTGGTGGGCGGGGCTTAGCTGGAAGCACACTAAAACCTTGTTTAGACTATTAGCTAAAGTTAGCTTTTATGCTAAAGCAGGTAATATTACTGAATATCTCATTGCAGTAGAGGCTGGTTTGAGGGTATTTTAGTTTTGAGACATCACTATTACTTCGTATTATTAAAGGGGTATTCTGGCGTGAAATTAATTTAGGGTCAAACACACCTTTACATCGAGTTAGACACCCCCTCAAGAAATGAATGCCGCCGACCGCTTGCTTCTCTGGTTAAACCAACTTTAGTAACGACTGCACGATAGCAATACACAGTGGTCTGAGGAGCCATAAACAAACCTCAACCAAAACGCCACTCTATAGCCACAAATAATGTTCAGAACAGCACCTAACTTCATCAACAGTACATATAGGGTCCCAGCCATAGTACTAGCCACCAAACATCTTTTTAACTTCGCCTAATTTCTTTAGCAAAGAGAATTAACACAACTAACCTACTCTCTTCCAGCAGCCGCTTATTTTTAGCGAGCCTCAGGCCAGTCCATTGTGGACTGCAGCGGGGTGACGCAGCTCAAGGAAGAACATTTATGATCATTACTTTATCATTTCCTTGAAGTAATAATCATCATGTTAATCATTTTGCACTGCAGACATGGTACTGCTTCTGCCTTAGCATCTTGGTCTGATTGCATTTCTATGAGTAAATGATCATAAATGTTCTTCCTTGAGCTGCGTCACCCCACTGCAGTCAATAGACTCGCCCAAAGGTCTCGCTACAAACAAGCGACTGATGGAAGAGAGTGGTTGAGTCGTGTTTAGTCTCTTTGTTAAAGAAATCAGGCAAAGCTAAAAAGATGATTGTTAATATTCATCTCTCGACGGGGTGTCTAACTCGGTGTTGCAGTGTGTTTGACCCTCACTTAATTTTACGCCGGAATATCCCTTTAATAGCAATATTTTAGGATGTATTTAAAGGTAGTTAGTTTGAGGAATAGTTCATTGAAACAGCCGTATTGCATTATTCTTATTATTATGATATTTACTCCTTTAACTTTAGGGATAATTATTTACTTTGTTTGTGGTACTTGAAAAGATGACATAGACACATAGTCTGTAGTGGCGATATGTTTGCCTCTGATCTTTGCTTGCAGCAGATACTTTGGCGTCACTGCATTATTGGCCCTGAAAGGATCTACATCTTTGTGAGAGTGGATGTTATGCTGTACTAGTTAGAATGAATCCTATGTCCTTGTGTTGCAAACAAAGAACAACACAACTTTCTTTGCAAACTGCAGCTTCACAGTGCAGTCTAGGGTGAGCGTTTTCCCCAAGACACAACTTTCTCTAGGTTTTTGCATCATTCCAAACACATTTTATCAACCAATCACAAGCCCTAAGTTTAATCAGATAACACGATGGAAAAGCTAACAAGGGCTAGGCCAAGTTTAATGGGCTTTTTTTTATTGTGATAAACCTTTAAATTGAAGGATTTTCCACCCAACCCATTTCTACGTTTGTCTTCTTATCTCTTTTATTTATTTCTCTGAGAAGCCAGTCTTTTAAAAATAAGAGCACTGTAAAACCAAAGTACACACAGAAATACACAAACACATACAGGCACACAATCTCCCACCTTCCTCTGGGAGGTGTACAGGAACGCTTTGGTTTGTTTTGCAGGAGGAAGTTCAGGGTGTTTGCATCTTTATTTCAGTGTGGGTGTTTGTGTGTGTCTCAGAGGGGAGCTGCAGCTGTGACGGCTGGCTCAGAAATGCGAACTACATTCACACACTTATAAACAAAACTCGCACACACACTTAAACACACACACACACTCACACACCCTGGAGGAGACAGGGACTGTCAGTATTACTGTCAACAGATGTAAGACTTCCTCTCCTGCCCCAGAAAAGTCTCTCTTTTTTAAAGGCTCACATGCAGATTGAACATCTCAGCCTTAAGTTGTCACTGAACATTGAACACTGTTACGGATGGATTACTTGGTCCGGCAGGCTGAGAGCTTGAGCTGAAATGTTGCATAAAGTGCACATGGTTCAAGAGTTTCTCAGCCCTCTTCTTTTCTTACATTTTGTTATGATGTGAGCAGAATAAAAGTGATTATAATTTTTTTTTTAAGCCGACACAGAGTTGTTTAAGTTCAGGAAAGAGAGCAGACTGTTTCTCTAATATGAAAAACACAGGGAAAGTTCCTTTACATGGTTCATCGTGGCAACAAGGCAACTCACAATTTTTATTTTCTTCATACTGTGAAACTTTTTTGTACACTTCTTGCCAGACATTTTGCGAATCCCACTTTTTTAGTTTCAAAACGTTTTTCACCAAGACAGACACACTCCTACAGTTTTCGTTACAGATTTCTGTACTTGCACAATCTGTAACCTTTTAACCTGCTTTCTCTGTCACTGCACATAAACAGGGCCACACGCAAGACTCCAGTCTACATTAGCTTTAGCCTCAATGAGAGATGGTCATTAGATGGATAATCCATTGCACGTGCGTTATAAGTGACTCACCCCCAATTTCCTCTGCACCCAGAACAGCTATGAAAAGGTCGTAT